TTTAGGGTTTTGGGTTTAGGGTGAAGAGCCCATCTGCAAGGGATTTCTGGTAGGAGTTCCTTTCAGAATTCCCTTTTGCGTAGGGTTCCTGTAAGGGTTCCTTAAAGTACCTGGTTTCTAGGTACACACACACACACTCATTCAAGCAAATACCTAAGGTGCAGGCGGCGGATGCGGACAAAGATGGATCGATGAGTGCGGAAGAGTACGCCACCCTCCTTGTGCATGACGTGGTGCGCCGCTCACGGAAGGCCAGTTTCGGAGGGGAAATTTAGGGTAGAGGACATGGGGAATCTAAGGTTTTGAGTTTCTCATTAGGTTGTATTGTATGGAAAAATTCAGTTTCTATTGTATATCATATTGTAAGATACTGTATGGAATCTGCACGAATATTAGGTTACAGGGTACGCGGGGTTAGGATACTTAGCAGAGGTCTTGGGTTGACCTGGACATTACAGAATCGAGTGCTTGCGACGCATGATCATGAAAACCGAGGCTATATCTCGCTAAAACCACCCCTCAACCATCAACCCTACTCCCTAAGCAATTGGGGTTTATGAGTCTGGGGTTTGGGCTTTTGGGCCAAACCCCCAGACCCATGGAACTGTGAGTTTGGACGGTGTCTTGAAGATCTCCCACCCTTAATACGGTTTAGGGTTTAGGGTTTAGGGCTTCAGGCCTAGAAACCTTAAGAAGGAGTGTTGAAGAGTTTCCGCGCTTCAGGACGCCTCCTTCATGTCAGCAGCTGCCATGGAAGCGGCTGCTGAGACCTTGGCCATCGCAACCGGGTCATATAAGCACTGGTCTTGGTAGTTTAGGGGTTATGTTTTTAGCTTTGGGGTTTAGGGGTAAGCATGGACATCAACTGCCTTGTCCCAGTCTAGACCCGAGATAATCGAAAACCCCGTCTCCAAACCCGAAGCCCCCCGAACCCTCTGATGAGCTTGCCGGCCAGGACAATTTCGACCCTCCGACCCCCAACCTCCAAACACACAACTTGAACGCCTTCAATTCAACCTGACCTGCGAGTACACGCAGTTGTGTCTGCTGGACAAAGCCTTGCATCAGCTTCAGGCAGAACTGGCAGCCAGTGGCCAAGACCCTGCTGCCGCGACTCAGGCGGCAGACGCCCAGCAGCTCGCCTTGTCCTTTCGGGGCAAATCTTGGAATTCTAGCCCACCCTAAATCCGAAAACTTGTTCCATCTTCCTCCTACTCTTCCATGGGCTAAAAACAGAGGTGTTAATGCAAGGTTTTCATTGAGGGTCGAGGAGTGAAGATCCAGCGCTCAGGGTTGTCGGAATCATGTCTTAATGTACCGCAACCCTAAACCCTTAACTCCTATAGACCCTAAACCCCTAAACCCTAAACCCTAAACCCTTAAATCCTTTAGACCCTAAACCCCTAAACCCTAAACCCTAAACCCGAGACCCTAAGCCCTCAACCCTTTTGCGGGTGCCGGGCCCGGGACTGAATTTAAGGCGCGTCAGCAGCGACAGCAACAGCCTCGTCATGATGTCGTGCTCAGAGCAACCCCAATCCAAACCCTGAGCTCACCCTAAACCCTGAACCCCTGTGGCTCCCTAACGAAGGATCCCTTAAGGTTCCCTTATGGTTCCCTTAAGGTTCCCTTATGGTTCCCTTATGGTTCCCTTAAGAAAGCCTCAAACCCTAAACTTCAACCCCTTTGCTTCTAAGGCTGTTCTTCGGAGCCGAGTACTCCGAAGCGAAGGCGGACCCCGCCCAGGGCATTCCTACCACAACACCAGAGCCGCAACGAGATGCGAGCCTAGGCCTTGAAGAATCAATGCCATATCTGTTTTTGCTGTGGCACTGTTTTCAGTAACCCTACGTAACCCCTAAACCATTTTTGGACCGACCGCGAGAAGACCAGATTAGGAATGGCAGCATCATTCTTGCGGGAGGTCCCAGTGGGGAGGACTTTGGAGACGTGGCTTGCCTCTTTTAGGGTTTAAAGTTTAGGGTTTAGGGTTCATACTGTAGAAGCCTCAATAATTACCCATATTATTCCGGAGGGTTCCTTTAAACTTATCATGAAAGCACAGTGTACCCCAAAACTTTGTTCGGATTCTTCGTGAACGCACCAGAACCTACCTTTTTGTAGGGTCCCTATAAATTCCATATTAGGGCCTATAATGAAGAACCTACAAAAACGTAGGTTTTGGTAGGTTAAGATTCATCAACGCCTCTTTGCTAGGCAACTGTTGACCCCTCTGGGCTAGTATAGTCCAACCACGTTGAAAACAGGTCATTATAGGGTTTAGGGTTTAGGGCCTTACTGTAATAGTCACCTATGCTGCTATATTGGGGGGGGTTCTTTATTACAACTATAGTATATTGTACCCCCAAAACCCTGTTGTGATTATTAAGGCCCCTATATTATCAAACCCTAAACCTAACCCCTAAACCCTAACCTTTAACCCCTAACCCCTAAACCCTAAACCCTAAACCCTAAACCCTAAACCCTAAACCCTAAACCCTAAACCCTAAACCCAAACCCTATAAACCCTAAACCCGCAGTGTCACGAAGTTGATGTTTGGGGCCAGGGAGCCGATACATTCCCAGAGACTCCGATATCCCTTAATTAAGGAATATACTCCAATAGGGTTTATGGTTTAGGGTTTAGGTTGGTAACCTTTTAGGTTTAGGGTTTAGGGTTTAGGGTTAATTAAGGAATATACCTTTAATTATAGTAGGAACCCTAATAAGATTTAAGGTATATTCTTTAATTAAGGGATATTGGAGTCTCTGGGTTCTCAGGAAAGTACTGGACCTTATGCCCCTAGACTTCGGGTCTTCGCTTTGTGGTCTTTTATTGGGATTAGGGGATTGGGGTTTAGGGGATCAGGGTTTAGGGTTTAGGGGATTGGGGTTTAAGGGATTAGGGGATTATAGGGTTTACGGGATTAGGGTTTAGGGTTTAGGGGATTGGGGTTTAGGGAATTAGGGGATTAGGGTTTAGGGGATTAGGGTTCAGGGTTTAGGGGGTGTGTTACGGAAATTACTTTATACATGTTGGTGTCTCTTGCCGACTGAACGTTCGAATCGTCGCAAGACCTTGACTTAGACTTTGGGAAGATTGAGGGTTTGCCAAAAAATAGGGGACCCTAATGTAGTACCCTCAATAGTAGGATCCTTATTATAAGGACCCCAAAATAAGGTACCCCGTATTTTCGGAAACTCCCATTGAAGATAAGGTGAAGGACCCCGCACCGGTGGACGGTCTTTACGATCCCCAGACCGGAGAAGTCATGATGTGCGTGAGGGGCAAAGAGTTTCATGCTGGGCTTTGCTACGACTACTGCAACTTCGACTACACGCTGGCGACCCTCAGCATTTGCTGGAAGGAGGCACGGCAGGGTTTAGGGTTTACTCGAGCATTCAATAGCTTAAGTCCCACATCCTTGACCCTGTCGCTCGTGGGTCAGCCAACTTTCGGTTAACCTCGTACATGAAGTAGATCCCCTAGCAGGAAGTTCAAGTATGCTCACGAAATTCCTACGAAGGCCTGTGTATACTCACGGACACACGAAAGAGAAGCCTCATTTACATCATGATCAAACTACCTGGAGAGGCTTTATGGCACAATGTGCGCATGCTCAAGTCTCGAAAGCTTCAAGCACCAAGCCATTCACGAACCCAGCACCCCGAAAGCCGAGCCAACAAGATTTTGCAAGCTTTCACTGTGGTGTATCCATGAAGGCCCCTATCAACCCTAAACCCTAAACCCTAAACTCTATGCCCCACAGGAGTGCCCGTCGGGCTGGTTTGAGATCGCTGGCGGGTTCTGCAAGAGAAACGGCTTCAACCTGGATACCCAGCTGATGGAGCCGTGGCTTTAAACCTTCTTTTTCGGCTTAATGTAGGGGCCTAAAATAATTACCTGTGCAATTTTGGGGCTCCTTGCTATTATAGTATAATATACCCCAAAACCCTATTCGAGTTACTAAGGCCCCTATATTCGGTTTAAGTCTTTGTGCGAAAACTAGGTTCCCTGAACTCCATTTCCCCCAGAAAGCTCAATGAGAAGGTCCCCGTCACCCCCCTATGCCCTACACCCTAACCCCTCTATAGCTCTTGGGTGACCCTAAGCCCTAAACCCTAAGCCCTAAACCCTAAGCCCTAAGCCCTAAGCCCTCAATAGGTCGGCTTAGGGTCCAGGGTTCAGGGCCCAGAAGAAGCCGCAGGGCCACTATGCAAAACTGACTCGGCTGACTGTGTTCGTCAGGCCCTTACAAACAGCAAGCCCTAAAAGCATAAACACCCCAATCCCTAAAGCCCCTGCTAGACAGCTTTGCCGCTTGTGCGCACAAGCTGTCCATCTGGACTGACAACCAACCAACCAACCTAAAGCCTGACAGCCCATACCCCAAATCAGTAAAAGCTTTAGCCCTAAGCCCTTAAAGCCTATGACCTTAGATGGGTGCCACCCAGGAAACCCTAAACCCTAAACCCTTAAAACCGATGACCTTAGATGGGTGCCTCCCAGGAAAGCTATGACCGCGGTATGGGCGAGTTTCCATCGACCTGCATACCTTCCCTGCTTTCGGGGCATGCAGGGATGGAAGGATTGAGGGCTCCAGAACTGATGAAGGTCACCCTAAACCCTAAACCGTTTAGGGTTTAGGGTTTAGGTTTTTGGCTTTCGTGCTTCATGGCTTGTTGTTCAGTTTTGTCGGCTGGCTGTGGTGTGCGGCACGGGGTTGAGACTGCTGATTGCTGTGTGTTATGGTCTGTTGCGCGTGAAAGCTCTTTCGTTTGAATTATGTGGGGTTTGAGTCCCTGTAACCCAGGTGTTGCCCGATCGGAAAGGGGCACTTGGCCTGAAGATGATGATAGTGAGGAGCAGGAGGAGGAGGGGCAGGAGGAGATTCATGGTGATCATGCTGCTGATGATGGATGTTCAACGTTATATTCAAAACCATCATGGCCATCAATGATGCCCATGATGCTGTTGAATATGGCGTTGAAACTTACGGTATTGTTGACGCATGTTGACGCCGTTGCTGATGGTGACGATGTTGCTGATGGTGAAGAAGAAGACTGAGCAATCTGAATATGCGGGTGATGGTAATGGTGATGGTGAGTGGTCATAACACTGACCATGATCATGGTGATGGTGGCGGTGGTGATGATGGTGGTGATGATGATGATGACGCTGGCGATGATGAATAATAACAACAATAAGATGATGAAGAAGAAGATGGTGATGACAATGATGCTGATTATGATGATGATGGTGATGATGATGACGATGATGATGATGATGATGATGTTGATGATGACGATGATGATGATATTGTTGATGATGATGACGATAATGATGATAATGTTGATGATGATGAAGATAAAGATGAAGAAGAAGAATATGATGATGATGATGATGATGATGATGATGGTGATGGTCATGGTGATGATGATGATGATGATGATGATGATGATGACGCCGACTGAGCATGATGACGATGAACAATCAGGCACGATGACTCCGGCAGTGGTGATGATGCGGGTGGTTGTGATGATGACAAAGATGTTGGCAATCGGTTTCCAAACATCCATGACCCAGACCTCACACGGAATTGGGAGGTATGGTTTCGCAAACGTGAAAAGCTTACCCAGGGCCTATACAGGATCATACCAAACCTCAAACCCAACCCGCAAGGCTGGATGTCCCCAAAAACCCTAAACCCTCAAACTGCAGGCTGCTTGATCCCGTAATCCCTCGCCAGCTTGCCTTGGGCCTTGGGCCACAGGGTTTTGGAAGTATAGGGCCCCAAAAAGCACATAAGCAAAAATTAGGATCCGGATATCCCATATAAATCCCCTTATAATGATGCCCCCCAATACGGTAGGGATATCCCTATAAAAAGCTTATGCTTATGTGCTTTTTGGGTCCCTAACAGAACCATCAAACCTAACGCTCCGGACATGGCCGTGGATGCACCTGTTTAAAACGCATTACCGTCCGAAGAAGACCGGTTTAGCTTGGCTCCCCGGCCCTGCCCCACCACCCGCTCCTTTCAATCGAGGGCCTGCCAAAAGGAAGATTGTGCTTTCCCTCCACACAATCTCTGCGAGAATGCCGAGCTTCGGTGGTGGCACACGTGGTAGTGGTCTTCAGTCTTGAGCTCTGCATTCCCGAAGCCCTTGACCAAATTCCCCTGAACTCTTACGCACCAGACTCCGAACCTGCAAAGCCCAAGTTCGACTTCGCCAGGTACTTTGGGAGGCTCATTTGGCCCGGGGAGAATTGTTGACGATGGAATCCGCGACTTCACTGCCTGCCGCCGGCACACCAGGGGTCCGTTTTGTTTTGCAGGGCTGGCAGGGTGGAGAAGCCTTGAACCTTCCCTTTCGAATTATGATATATATATATATATATCCCGAAAGAAAGTATATGATATTTTATATTCCCGAAAAGAAAAGTATATGATATATATTTCCCGAAAGAAAACGCTCTGAACCTCCCGACCTGTCCGACCGCATGGTGCGACGTTTCAGCTTCGTAGCCAAGGATTCAGGGCTTTAGGGTTTAGGGTTTAGGGTTTAGGATTCAGGGCTTTGAGCTTCCAGGCCGTTCGGCTGTTGTCTTCGGATGCATACTTTGGGCTCAGGATTTAGAACCCTAGGGTTTAGGGTTTAGGGTTTAGGGTTTAGGATAGGGCTCTTGAAGCATTGGCTTTAGTTTCCTGAGGTCTCCGTTTCGGGTGTGAAGTAAAGTGGCAACCTTTCCCTCTTCTTATCACAACCCCAGAACTCCGCCATGGACCTCACATGCGAAACCCTGAGCCTTCAAGATTCAACTGGGCTTTGGAGTACCATACTTTCATGCTCCTTAAAGGAACCATTATGAAATAAAAGTCTATACTTTTTCTCCCTGGTTACTTCACAAAGCCTGGTTAAATTCCTATACCCCTAGCACTTTAAATTATCTTAGCCCCTGAACTCTACACCCGGACTCCCCACATCTCCTTGAAGCTCTTGAATGACTGTCGAGATCATAGATGGTTTTGGGAGGTTCCTTATTTTGGTTATAGTATAAGGGCCCTAATGATTAGAATAGGGTTTGGGGTATATTCTACAGTATAATATACCCCAAAACCCTATTCTAATCATTAGGGCCCTTACATGCCCCAGGTCATTTTTGTGTCGGACACCCAGCTACCCTGGTGCGGTGACAAGCCCAGGGGGAACATGGGCTGCGCCATAGAAGCATCCGGGCTGCAAGTGAGGCTCATGGTCGATATGGGGTGCTCATTCTCGCTCCCTCTCCCCTCTGCCCTCTGCCCCCTCCCCCCTCCCCCCTCCCCGTTGCTCTCTCTCTCTCTCTCTCTCTCGCCATCTCCCTCTGTCTGCCGGTGTGTCTCCATCTATCTATCTGTCTATCTACCTATCTATCTATCGATCTATCGATCTATCGCTCTATCGATCTATCTATCTATCTATCTATCTATCTATCTATGTATCTGTTTATCTATCTGTCTATCTACCTCTCTATCTATCTGTCTATCTACCCTCGATCGTTCCATCCTGCATATACACACGGACATGATATGTGGATATCTGTCGGCTACATTTGTATATATATATACACACACACATACACACGTGCATCCAGTTGCTTTTACATATATACATATATACAGATAAACAGTAACGAACAATTAGATACACTTGTGTATGTGTATTTGAGTTTTATGTCATTGTCATGTGTTGCTTTTTCCGACTACGTAGTCTGTCCTTAAAGTTTATGGGTGCAGCACAAGGCCTTTGACCCTGCATTCCACTTTATGCCCCTGACGATCCTGGAAAGGAACCCCTCTCGCATCGAACCCTTGGGGAGCCCTTACGGAAGCCCTCAAGCGAGCCCATTGGTCACAGAGATATCAATCGTAAACCATACACACATGCATCCTGAAAGAACCTTGCTAGTATCCCTTCAGAGCTCTTCGAAAACCTCAAGTAAGCCCTAGCAAGGACATAGGAAGGACGCTCAAAAGCAGAGAGTTTAGGGTTTAGCGCAAGCTTCTAGTCTTGGGTATATGTTGGAACCTTAAACCCTAAACCCTAAGCCCTAAACCCTAAACCCTAATCCCTAAACCCGAACATTATAGACCGTAGACCGTTGTCAGACTTAAGGGGCATGAGAGATCCGGAGTCGCAAGCACCCAGCCACCCAGACCCAGTTAACTCAACAGGCCTTGATTTCCGAATGTTTGCTACAATGTGGCAGTTTGAACACTTAGTGCCAGTACGCCCTGTAGTCCCTGAATCGGTATGCCATAAGGCACCCCAACATTCTAGTTTAGTTCTTGACTTCATGAGTCCCTTATAGTAACAGTAACGGTTATGGTAACCCTGATTGAAAGCCTTTAAAGGAGTCCGGTACGGAACTCTGTGCTAGTAACCAATTTTCATTGGTTCTAGACGGTGTTCATGTACGCATGGTCGGTTAGGTAGCATACTTTAGCGATTTGCAGTTCTTCAAGCAGTTAGTGGAGACGACTGGACCGGAGGTCTACTAAGCCCGAAAACCCAAAGTAAGTCAGCAAACAAGAGCATGTAATCATTTGCTTAAGGCTGAGCGTGTGTTTATTCCTTTAGTTATGATTGTAGTTGTTGATTTGTTCTTGTTCCCATACCTGCAGGTATAGATATGCAGTGAACCCCTGCGCGCTAGGCGCTTATTTCATCTCAACAGTCGCCCGACCCCCCCGTTGTTCCCCTCAAAAACCAAACGCTTTTTGCCCAGCAGCCTAGCGAAGGAGAACTTTCGGATTGTGCAAGGGATCCACGATGTTCGCGAGCTGAAGTGGGTCGTGGGCGAGGATTTCAACGCATCCGACGAACAGGCAGCAGCTTTCGGGTTCAAACTGTTCAAACCTAAATCCTAAGACAACCCTATACAACCCTAATATAGAGGCCTTAATTAGTTAGAATAGGTTTTGGGGGTATATTGTACTATAATCATAATACGGAGCCCCCAAAATACTATAGGTAATTATAAAGGCCGAGGCCCCTATATTACACCCTGCAAACCTCCTAAACTCCAAGCCCTATGCCCCAAAAGGCTTCGACCCCACATCTGCGTTTAGGGTTTAGGGGTTTATTGTTCTGGGTTCAGGGTTTAGGGTTTCAGGGATTAGGGTTTAAGGTTTAGGGTTTGAGGGTTTTGTGTGTTTCGGGTTCAGGGTTTAGGGATCCTCACCCTCGACCGCAAAAGCGTAAACCCCCCAAACCATCGAAGCGGAGGCCTGGACGCCCGAACATCTGAGTAACGCAGGGGCCTTACTAATGACCTCTACTATTTTGGGAGTTCCTTATTCCAATTTTTGCACATAAAGAGCCCCTTGTGACGCCCTGTTCTATTATTTGATGGAGTGGTAGCTGACTAGGGAGGCTCAGGAGGTGGTTGGTTGAGGGTCTCAGGGTGTTAGCAAGTTAACCCCCATGCTTCCAAGGATTTTATTATAGTTCGGGCCCTAGACCCCTTAGGGGTTTAGGGGTTTAGGGTTTAGGGTTTAGGGTTTAGGGTTTAGGGTTATTCTGGACTCAAGAATAAGGTCCCTGGATGCATAGGTCAAGGTTTACGGTTTTAATGGTGTAGACCCTAAACCCTAA